ATTTTAATTTTTTAATATTTTTATTGTTCAATATATATATATATATATATATATATATATATATATATATATATATATATATGACAGATAGATAGATAGATAGATAGATAGATAGATAGATAGATAGATAGATATGAAACTGCAAGAAAGGACAGCTGGCGGGAATACTTCATGAGTTAGGAGAAGAGAAAGGAGTAAGATGGAAAGAAAGGTGGAATAAGAAAAAAGAAAAGATAGAAATAGAGAAAGATATATGAAAAGGAGAAGATATCAATTGTGCGAAAGAAGAAAAGGAAGAGAGAGATGGAGTGAGAGTGAGAGAGTGGGTGGGTGGGAGCACCAGAGACGTAAAAATGCTGATAGAAAAGCAAAAGTCATGGGAAATTTGCTGTTTAAAAACAGTAATTTGAATTTCCTAACCTGATTCTTCCTCTGTAGCTAAATGGTATAGCACGCCAGACTCTATAACGGTTCCGTGATAGATACACGTTCGATTCCTGTTGGAAGACGCAAATTTTTTTTATGAAATTTTTCTGATATTTAGGCGGATAAATGTAGTTAATAGTGTTTATTATAAGCAGAGCATTTTCTTAAATATTTGTATTTATAAAAAGAACGTATAAACAAATATATATATATATATATATATATATATATATATATATATATATATATATATATATATATGAAGAAATATAGTCTAAGGTTTGCTATATTTAAGGATAAAGTGCCCATATCAGAGATAGAGAGTGTGTAAATATAAAAGTGAATATAGAAGTCAACATTTAGTGGCGACAGTCTGTTTTATGCTATATGCAATCGTCAGGCCTGATGATTGCATATAGCATGAAATAGACTGTCGCCTCTGGGTGTTGACTTTATGTTCACTTTGATATATATATATATATATATATATATATATATATATATATATATATATATATCAAGTATATGATTGGTGTATACGGAATAAATTCAAAAACCAACAATTACTATTCTTAAAAGAGTGCTCAATACAGAGTAGAGCAGATATGATTATTTATTTAAAAATTATAACATAAATATGTTATAAAATCACTACAAAAATATCCATTTTGTTTCAACACCTCCGGTGTCTTATCAAGTGATGATGTTGAATGTAAAATAAATGGTTTTAAAAAGTTTCAAATTAATTAACGATCCTTCGCAAGGGGTTACGGGATTTAAATAAGATCTTTTTAAAAATTTATTCCCTATTACTTTAAGCGCTATATTTTAGTGGAATCGCCTGTTTAGAGAAGGCGGCCCGTTTTTATTTATTTATTTATTTTTTTATACACTGTGAATGATATCTACCGGCCAGTGCATTGGAAAGTCTTAAAAAAAGTAGATATACCCTCAAGCTGTGTTCGTACATGCGGACTCCTTTGTAGGGGAAACCAGTTTATGATCCGACATGCTTTAGATTGCTTCGCCACAGAGTTTCACAGCCCAAAATGGATCATTTAACCCCCCCTCCCCAGGAATGTATATCGTCTCGAAAACCAATATCTGCTCCAAAGTCTACATGTGCTGACCTTATTTTTGCGTCTGTGCGTATTTGTGCACATTTTTAGTATTTAGTCTACTCTGGCCGGCGAGGTTAATGCAGTGGACACTCTTGACTTCATTAGTAGAACTTGTGTCAAATTGTTTTAAGAGCTGACAGAAAACTTGATGCAAGTTCTGGTTCTCAGGCATCTCTCTCTCTCTCTCTCTCTCTCTCTCTATATATATATATATATATATATATATATATATATATATATATATACATATGTATATATGTAAGCAAATATATGGATATAGATCCGACAGTATAAAGCAAAAATATACAGAAAAAACAAACAAAAATCTTAATATACAATTACGCTGTATTAATGTTAATATAAAGTCAACGTCGGATTGTTTCGGTCTATTTTAGACCATCATCAGGACATATTCATAAAACATAATTAACATTAGAACATATAAAATTCAACATGAAAAAGACGATGGACATAAGAGCACGACTAATCCAAAGAGATAACTAAAATTTTTATATAAGATCAGTGTTCCGTTTAAATATGATCACATCGTCGTCACGTGGGCGATGTTGTGAAAACGTATTCGAAGATGATTTCAAAATATTAAACAAGCTCGATTGAACTATTTTCTCATATAAGCAGTTCGTTAAGAAATCCCTTCCGTTCTTATAGGAATACGCAGAGATCAATAGGTTCTTATATTTTCATACAAACTTGAAGTCTTCCATGTTATATATATTTTTATTTTTTGTTTGTTTTTTGTATATTTTTCTATATATATATATATATATATATATATATATATATATATATATATATCATAATTAATTCATCGAAGAATTCTCAACAGAATGTAGAAAGCAGTGGACGGCCGTTTCGTCCTATTTTTGGGACTCATCAGCAGTGCGTATCCACTACTGAGAATCCACACACACACACACACACACACACACACA